GCTCAGGCCAGCATAAAACTAACCAGTTAGAGGATTCATGGGTGAATGAGGGTGTGTCAGGTAGTGAAGGGTCAATCTCCCCACCTGCATTGTTGTTGTGCTGCCCTGGGGACATGTGAGTGTTGGCTCCAGGCTGCCTTTCCCTCACCCATCCTCTGGGAACGAACCTTCCTTTCCCTGAAGGCCTGTTAGCAGTCTCAAAAAGGAGAGGGGATGGATGCACAGAGACAAAAACCTGAAACACTTCTCTGTTTACCTGTCTTGAGGTGGAGCACAGGGGAGAGAGCCAAAGATCACCTGCAGTCGTATGGGGCTGCAAGGGGGGTGCAAATCCTGCTGGCCCAGGAGGAAAGTTTGGATTTCTTAGGGCCTTTTGGTGCATTAGAAACACCATGCAGGGAGCCAGGGTTTAATTATGCAGTAAGAGTTTCAAGCAACAAAAACCTGTTAAAAAGTGAGGGTGCAGTGCCATCTCTCCCTGTGGACCTTGGGAAGCTCAGGACTGATTTTTAGCAAGCCAAAAAAAAACCAAAAAAGCAAAGACAGGCTGTTAACTTTGTGTCTTTGTGGTCCTTTCTCAGGGGTCCTAGAAGAAGCTGAGTTCTATAACATAGGTCCTTTAATCCGAATAATCAAGGATCGACTGGAGGAGAAGGACTACCCAGTAACCCAGGTATGGAGAGGAGTGGCAAGGGGGGCGGGCTGGGCAAAGGATGAAATGTGGAAAGGGAGAGGTGAGTCTAGAGGGAGAGCAGACTTGGGAGAAGCAGCAAGACACAGAAAGAAGCAGCTAATTAGAGTTTATGTGTTAATATCTACGTAGCAAAGTCTTTCAGGGGAGAGGCAGCAATCATTTTAGTGACAATAAACAAGTTACAGGCTTGTTTTGCATCCCCAGAAGTAATGCTGGATGTAGTCCCTGAAACCAAATCAGCTCCTCCAGCTTTTGGAGGAAGGCAGCTGATGGCTGTGGGATGTGGAGGAGTGTTTGTGAGGAGAGCAGAGGTGTCGTGGGGAGGAGGGCTGTGGTGTGGGGACTCCTGAGAATGTAATCAGGGTGAAGAGCATGGGGGTACCTATAGTGAAACCTACAGGGAACAGGAGAAGAAACATCTGTGGAAGAGTTAAATGCAGAAGATGAGGCACAAGGAATCAATCCTGTGGCACAATCCCACCTTGTCTTGGCCAATAACCTTTTAAAAGCTTTCTTCTGGGAGTGTTGGCTGATATCTCACCTCTCATCATTTCTGCCTTGGGTTGTAAGCCTCCAGCAACACAGCCACTTTGTGCTTGCAAAACCCCAACAGCATCTGTGGCATTTGCATAAATGACTTTGGAACAACAAATGCAAACTCCTCATCAAAAGAGCACAGCATCTTCTGGGGATCAGGAAGCTCAGTCCCTCCTCTCCAGAAGAGGTACTGTCCTTGCTCCCTGTGATGGCACAGTAGAGAGTTGGGTTGTGGTTTCCAGACTCCTTTAAGCTGGGACATGGGGAAGAGGACAGGTCTGTCAAGGAGGGACAACAGCCTTTATCATCTGACCTCACACTCTGCAGTTTTGCTGTCAGGTGCCTCCTAAGCACGTCTATCGTGTGCTACAGTGCCAGGAAGAGGAGCTCACTCAGATGGTTTCCACTATGTCAGATGGATGGCGCTTTGAGCAGGTATGGAGAAGGCAGAGGAGGGTAGGAAGGAATTGTCTCTTTGTGAAAAGGTCCTGGGTACCCTGCAGTCCCCAGGAAAGGCACCTTCGCTCTCCAAGAGTGTTGGATCAGTCACTGATGGTGCTATCACACTGGCTCTCTTTTGCCCCTTCTCTAGAGGTTTAGAGGATACTGTGTGGGGTGAAGCTGTTTTGCATCCTGGCTGACTCCTCCCCCCGTTCTCTCTGCTGCCTCCACTTAATTATAAAGCCTTTCTGCTGGGGCTGCGGGCTGGACTCTGTGCTGCGTGGTGGGCTTTCCAGAGTGGATATTTGCAGCAAATGTGTGCTTGTGATTCTTGCTCTCATCTTTTCTAGCTTGTGAACATTGGCTCATCCTATAACTACGGGAGTGAGGATCAGGCTGAGTTCCTGTGCGTGGTTTCCAAAGAGCTGTACAACTCCCCCAGTGCCCTGAGCTCTGAGCCTGGCCACAAAGCCAAGGTGAGACCACCTCGCTCCTGGTGCCTATGAGATCCTTGTTTACTCCCTCTTTCATATCTCTGCTGTGACCGTGGGGCAGCTCCGTGGTGAAACACAGGGGCTTGTCTTGGTGTTGAGCACGGGGGCACTACACCTATTGCCCAAAAGGAGGGGAGAGTCTGTTGAGGGTGGTGGTGTCTAGCTGTGTGTGGCAGGTGGCTTTAGCAAGTTACCCTGACACTCCTCATGCTACTCTAACATCCCCCTCACGCCTCCTCATGACCATCCTGTGCATGTCACTCTGCCTCCAGGGTGTGGTTTTGCAGCCTAAGGGGCAGGAGGTCACCTGCTCCACCTTGGAGGGAAGGACAGAAAGGTGTGGCAGTGCATGACATACTGTAGACCCTCAAATACAGCAAGGAGTGCTAGTGACTGATACCAGTTATTGGGCAGTGGGATCACAGCACTTATGAGTGGCTTAGATAGTCCTGACTTGATGCCCCTGAAGAAGATAAGTGTCTTTGTTCAAGCTAGCTTGGCCATGGGGAAAGGTCCCTTTTTAGTCCAGTGCCATGACCATTGCTTTACTCCCTCATGTGTCAGAAGGAACTGCCATGGCTCATCTTGCAAGTATCTCCACTCTTTCTTCCCTTTGTCCTGCATGCTGGGCCACAGAGCACAGAGGAGAACCTGGAGGAGGAAGAGCAGGAGGTGGAGGAGGAGGCAGAAGCAGAAGCAGAGGAGAAAGGTGCAGCAAATCCTTGAGGAAAGTGAATAAAAATAACCCCCCAGGCATAGAACCGGCCACCTTTCTGGTGAGAGCTCACAGCTAGCAGCAGGGAAGGACTAGGGCAGGAGCTGGGGCAGTCCTCTCCAGGAACAGGAGTCTCTGGAGAGAAAGCTGACAGGGGAGAGCTGTTACTGTGGCTGCTGCTTTGTATTTTAAACTGTTCAGTTGATTTATGGTTATATTTTTATTTGCAGACTCTCCACCCCTATTCAGGATTGCACTAAAGTCTTTCTTCCTCTGGACCTTCCCTCCTTCTCCCCTCTGCTTCCATCTCAGCACTGTCACCTACCTCCTACCCTGCCCCACTCCCCAGCCTCCAGCATCCTCCCCTCTGTTCTCTTTGCCCCCCAGAGCTCTGAGTGGCCCCTGCCTGGAGCCCTGTCTCTCTCTGCTCCTCACTTTTCCTCCTCTGCAGGTATGTTACCTGTCTGCACTCCCAGCTCCCGCCAGCCTGAGCTCTGCATGAGTGACTCACTTCCCTCTGTGGGTATGGCCCTGGTTTGTAGAGCTCGGGGAGGGGAGGGAGGGAGGGGAGCTCGACTCATTCCTAAGGTGGCTTTTCCAGTTCTCATCCTCTCTGTGCCTTTATCTGCCAAGCAGGCCCTACGGCTCTGGACCAGAGGCTCTGGAAGCAGAAGGGAGAGTGCAGCTGGGAGAAGTGAAGAGGGCTGGAAGTGAATTCAAAGCAGGGAGGGGTGGCATGGGGGAGAGGGAGAAATCTGACACATCCCTTCTCCAGGCTGCCCTCTGCAGCTCCTCCACTTGCCAGCCCAAGAGCAGCTTGCAGAAGGCAGCCTGGTGTTTTCCCCTCCCTACCCTCCCTTCCCTGGGCTTTTCCCTGGGCTCTGTCAAGATGAGAGCGTGGTGGGAAGGGGTGGCAAAGGCAGAGCAGAGGCAGCCAGGACCAGCTCCAGATGTTCTTGCAGCTGTGTGTGAAATGAGCCTCTGTGCTCTGCCTCCTGCTGGGGGAGGCTGCCCGGCTGGTGTGCATGGGGCTGGGCACAGAAAGCTTTAGAAGGAGGATTCTCCTCTGGTACCAGAAGACTGTGGGGCTCTTGTTAAACTGGGAGTGGTCAGTGCCAGTCTGTCCTGGGGCAGGGCACTTGTTAGCTGGCTGAGGTTTCTCCCCCCCTCTGTTTGAGAGCCTCCTTGTCAATGGCTGTGGGACCTGAGTGGTGTTCTCTTACAAGTCAGTGTATGTTAGTCATGTGGACTTTTCCTTTTTCTCTGCTCTCCCACCCTCAGGCCTCATGTCTTGTCTTTTTCTTCTGTTCTCATTTCCTCTGTCATTTCCCTTTTCCTTTTTCTCACTCTCCCCTCCATCTCTTTTTTTCCCCTGCCATTGATTTTGTTTCTCTCTTTCTCTCTCCTCTAGCTGTTACAATCCAGAGGTCTGAGGATGTGATCCCAATGCTTCTCTGCAGCCTTTCCATTCCTTGTTTATATGTTTATTTTTGTACTGCAGTGTACAGCAGCCCCCAGCCCCCCAATGTCACCTCCCAGACCCCTTCACTCTTCACATCCAGCCACTATTCTTCACAGACTCACCTCCGAGTCTTGAGCCTCTAGCCCTGGAGGAGGGCAGATGCTCCACCGACCCCATGGGCTGGAGCCCACGGCCCCCTCCCATGTCTGGCAGGCTGGCTTTCCTTAATGTCACAGTGTCCCCTGCTGGGGACATCAGCAATCAGCCACTGCAGCCTGCAATCTTCTGAACACCCTGGCTTCCACTGGGGCCCCGAGGTGGTGATCCTAGTGAAAGGACAGCTCCTCACCCTAGACAGTCCTGCCAGCTGGGCTGTGCTGGTGGCCAGAGGGCAAGTGCAGAGTCACTGCCCTTGTCTGGGGCTCCTGCACAGTTCATGGGGTGGCCCTGTGCTGGGTCTCACACTCCTTGGTGCCTCCCTCCCTGTCCCCCAAAAGCAGCCCTGTGTGGGCAGGGTAAGGAGGAGTCAGACATGCTGCCTGGTCCCTGGAACGTGCTGGCACCTCATGTCATGTCAGCTGACACAAGGAGATCCCTGTCTTTGGGACTGGCTCTGAGGACACCAGGGTGTAACTCCTGAATAAAATTCACAGCCTGTTCCTCCTTGCTGCCTCTCCTTTCAAATGGCAGAAGTTTGGTGCTGGTAGAAGGGGGTGGGAGCTGGAGAAGAGTTTGGATTCATCACCTGGAGCTCCCAGAAGCTGCTTCTGCTGCTCCTTCTTCTGGGGGCTGGAGGTACTTCCCACTGCATCCGTGCTACATCCCTACTGCAGGCAGCTGGGATGCAGGGCAGGGTTTCTTGTTGCTTTCTGCACCCCTAAATCATAAGAATGAGTAAGGATCATCTATCTAGCTATAGGATATTGACCCTGCTGTGCTTGGGGGGTGGGCAGGGGGGTGGAAACTTTTGCCCTTTGGAGTTTGGTCAAAAAAACCCACAACCCCCATGATAATTTTGAATAGAGTAAGGCAAGCTAGAGCCAAAAACCCCTTCAAATTAATTTTATTTCTAATTCCAGAGAGTGGCCCCTTGTGGGTGTGTGTATATATGTATATACACACACAAAGAAATATATCTTTATGTATATGTTCAGTAAAAAAAAACCAAACCCACGGCAGTCACTATTTAAGCCCTGTGCCCTGAAGCCTTCTCCTTCACCTCCTGGACTGTCTGAGTTAGGAGATGGAAGCAGTTGAGACACCCTCATATTGAAGGTATTTCAAAGGGCTGAGGGAAGGGGGTTGGAGGCTGCTCCAGTGTTTTTCCAAGAGCTGGGGCCTTTTCCTGAGGGAAGGGCATCAGTGGAGGCTGGGTGCTGTGACTCTGGACTGGTGCCTGGCAGTCAGTGGGATGTGGAGAGCTGCTTGGCTGAGCTGAGCAGCACATGCCAGCTAAGAAAAGAAGCAATCAGGGAGATGGGAGAGGAGGAGTGATGGGAGGGGAAGGGGGAAGGAGGACGGGCAGCAGGAAGGAAGAGAGAGGCAGATTGATTTCACAGTTACTGGAATCTCTTAACTACAGCAGTCACATTTTCTTTGGGCAAATGTTTCAGCAGAAGATTGTGGCTGAATCACATGGTTCATGGAAAGTTCAACTCCCCTCGTTCCTTTCCTCAGAAAGCAACAACTCGGGACTGTTGCTGTGTGTTGTGTTATTGTCCATCTGTCCATCCCCCCAGCTCTTGTGGGTGGATAGCCTTAACCACACCTGGGGATGCGCCCTGGGAAGCACTGAGGGAGTAGAGGGTCTGCCTGCTCTTCTCTGCAATCCCCACTGCAGGCATTGTTTTACCCTGCTCCAAAGAGCACCCTGGGTCTGAGAACATCCCACACAGAAGCTCTCAGAGAGGTGGTTGATCAAGATGAGGAATGAGTGCCATGTGAGTCTGATGGGGAGAAGACAGAGGTGCACTTTTCTCAGCTCATGGTTTGGTTCATCCAGCCCAGCACTTGAGTGATCCTGGTGTATACTCCATAGTGATTTGGACGTGCACATCCCATTCCCCAGCTGACCAAACCAGCCAGAAACCACCTGCCACTGGGTTCCTTGCAGGCCAGCGGACCTCCAGAGTCACCCTAGAGAGAGGGAAAGGAAAATGGGGTGATGGTGATCCACCAGCTTCTCCTGCTGGTGATTACACTGGCTCTGTGTCCCTCTGCATGCAGATCCCTGTATCCCCTCAGCCCGTGCCTGGGCCAACTGCAACGTGCCTTATACCTTGGGCAGATGTCAAAAACAGCCTCTGGTGAACACATCTGACCCATTGTCACATTCCTGCATCAAGGGTTCTTCCCCTTAGCCAGGCTTCAAGAATCTGGCAGCTCTACTGTTTCCTTCTGCTTCGTGTGGGACTTCTGAATGTGTGGAGAGCAAGGAAGCTGGTGGAATTTAACTGGCTACCCAGAGGGATGTGAGACAGAGTTCTTGGAGATTGGTAGTAATGAAGGAACAGGCAGGGTACTCTGTGTGACAGCTGCTAAGGAAGCTGAGGGGGTGAGGCCGATGTAGACATGTGACTTGAAAGTGGGAGATAAAGAGTGGGGAATGGGATGAAATGAGAAAAGGAGAAGTTTAAGTGTATTTGGATCCTGTTTAAGGGAAAGATGCTGGGAAGAAATGGTACTGGGATCTGTTGTCGGACACTTAGATCAGAGGAAGTGCATTTGTGGTCTTTTTACCCTCATTTCAGGCTATGGAGTACATTTGGTAGACTTGGCATGCATCCCACCTCTGGTAGTCACCCCTGATCCCAAAACTCCTCTGTCACCTGGCAGGCATCTTTCTTGCCCGTGTGGTACCCAGCACACAGCATCCTGGGAGAAATCATGTAGTGATAGGCCTCGCTGCAGATGTCCTGCTGGATGAGCTGCACGTCCACCTTCTGCAGAACATTGCTGACGTACCCTGAGGGTCAGAGCACCAAGAGTAGTGCACGTGAGCGATACTGGAGCTTCCCACTCCTTTCCACAGTCCCCCAGCCCACGCCCATCTCACTGCATGCTGAAGGCTGCCATCCCTCTATAGGTTACCACACTGTCATGCCTGCCTCTCTGAATGAGGTTTCAAGGCACTCAGCAGGCAACTTTGGCCAACCTAGGACCCAAAATCAAAGGAGCTGAAGGAGACATAATGCTTTGGGGTGAGCAGAAGCCCTATTCTGCCTATCCCATATCCAAACCTGTGTTTCCACCTTGTCTCTGCTACAGCAGGCCACCAGCAAAGACCTTGCACCTACCACCTTCCTTGAGGGCTCCCCAGCCAGTGATCCAGCAATGAAGGCCAGGCTCGAAGAAGTGAGAAGGAGCAGGCAAGCAGATGGGCTGGATTACGGGCGAGAAGATCACAGGATGGTCCAGCTGGAGCAGGGCCACATCATAATCATGGCTGTCCTCTTCGTAGTAAGGGTGGAGGAAGAGGTGGATCACCTTGAAGGACAC